AGCAACCCTCTTATTACCAAGCTGCTGGTGTTTGCCTTGTTACCTTACAACTTTCTGCTAGAAGTCAGGATGCCCACCCCACCGTCCCCCATTATAAACAGTACTCCTGCTATAGCGTTGGTAGGATTTGCTAGGGGAGTGACCCTTCCTTCATTTCCTTGAATGGTTTATAGAAATGACTTTTTTTTCCCCCAGTGGGTTTTTCTGTGAGAAGCGATCTCTGTGGCGCTTGAGCCTTGCTGTGTTGTTCCTAAAGAATTTGTCACAATTGCCATAGGTGGCATTATAGATGGTTTTAATTTCTCTCACATGCTTATTCTTATTCTAGCAATTATTTTTGAGTTCCTCCTATTTGCCAGATAAGAGCCAGGCGCCAAAGACAGAACACTGAGGAACACAGACACGGATTGTGAGTTTCTAACCTCCTGGGATATTACAGACAAGAAAAGCGACAGGAGCTGTGAGCATAAGATGTGTCTTGTTTGGGACACTGGACAGATTCTACAGATTCTACAGATAGGCTGTGGTAGAATATAAAACAAATACCTCCCAGACTCAAGTGGTGACCCAGAGGATGAGTTACTGGCTTTCTTTTCATTTTCTTTTTTTCTTTCTCTTTCCTTTCTTTTGCAACACATTTACACAATTTTTTAAAAGCCCACACATTTGCAATGTTTCCTGATACCTGAGTTACCCCTGGATTCTCTATTACGATGTTTAAGTTAGCTCTCAGGGACACAGATGCTATAGTGCGTTCCTGTCACAGGACAGAAACCTGCAGCCCCAAGGGGAAGGACTGCTCTATTCTCTCCTTGGTGGCTGTGAAAGTAGACGCCACATACAGGCTTCCTGGGGCAAGCGTGGTGACTGGGAAGGAAATTGCCTCTCGAGGCCCCTGACTATTCCTCTGAGACAGGGCAAATTATCTCACTGTTCTATTTACATATTAGCCTGAGTTACAATGTTTGAAAATTTAATATGTATATTCTTCTCAAAAAAGAAAAATCAGTGCAGTATCTAATTTCCTCAAAAGGAAATTGCTCGCTTAAAACAATTAACCCCTCTAATAAAAGGCCCACCTCAGCTGATCTTCCTTCCTGCCTGAATAAATTCTTTTGTAAGAATTAAAAGCTGGTATTTGCAGATTATTTTCTAGTCTAATTAAATAGGAAATTTGTAATTTCTCAAGTGTAATGCAAACCCCAAGTTTACAGAGTTCACACAGCATTGCAAGACTTCCTTTTCTTCTTGGGATATTTTAATTCCAATGATTAGAAATCAACTGTTGTTAAGAAGTGAGAGGTTAGATGTCTCTAAGATATGCAGCCTTGACGGGCAGTGCAGTTGGCTACAGCAGCAACCTGACACACCAACGTTGTACGTTCGACCCCAGTGTAGGGCATACGCAAGAATCAACCAATGAATGCGTAAGTAAGTGGAACAACGAATTGATGTTTCTCTTCCTCTATCTCTAAAAATCAATTTTTTAAAAATACATCCAACACCCACTTAGACTCAATTAGCATTTCAGTCCTGGCTCTGCCAATAACTTGTCCGACTTGGGACCAATTGTTATTTTTAAAAGTTTCAATTTCCTCATCTGTGAAGGAGATAAAGAGTTGATGTGTGTAAAATGGTTAGAAGTATGGCTGGCACATAGAAAGGGCTCAGTGAATGGTAAATGTTATTTTACCAGGTAAAGAAGTAGAGGCCATAAGGCTGGGGACTGATTAGATATGAGGAGACAGACGGACAAGGCAAAGAGGGCCTATGATCCCAAGCGGGGAGGACTGGCGTGACGGGGAGGTCACCAACAGCTACATGAATCAATGGAAGCAGATTCAGGGGAAATTGAGGCCAATTTTCCATTTTGGGTACAATGAGCATGAAATGTCAATGGATCATCAAGATAGGGAAGACTGGGATTATCGACAAAAGCAGGGCTGGAGCTGCCATTTTTGCTTATTGAAAAGGAACCATATGTAGAAAAGATAAATGTAATTAAAAGGTCTAAAGTTAAAAAAAATTCTGTGAAAGTAATTTAGTGACAAAGCATATTAAAACTACATCCCTTTAAGGAAAATGAATAGTGGGTGAAAAGTGCCATCACACAAATGCCACTGGGTCAGAGGGGCGTCCCCATCATGCAGGACACAGGGTCCTTTGTGTGGTCTCCAGTCACACAGAGAGAACCATTGTTCCTTTGTCTTCTCAGAGCTGTGCCAGGGGTTTCCTCAGGCAGGGAGACTCCAGGTGGAGCCCTATTGGCTCTTTAGATCGGAAGCACTGAATTCAGGATCCCAGGAATGCACGACCTGTCACTTTTCAAGTTGTAAGTACAGTGGGAGCCGAGACATCACAGGATCAGAACTGTGACTAGCAGGCAGCAAAGATGATGACACAATCCCAGCCTTCCTGAGAGCTGGCTCACACCTGTAGTGTTGGCTGGTCATGCCTCATCTGCTTGGGGGTCACACACTTCCCTTCCGCTCTTTGCTCTATTGCATCACCATACCCTGGGAATTTTGACATACACCTAGGATTATACATATGTTAAAATTTTATTTGCTGAGTTCAAGGGGTTCCCATCTTAGTAATATTTAACGCTGTGTTTTTACTAATGGTGACTTTTTAAAAAATGTGTGTTCTAGATGAGCTAAAACAAATCTTGAGTCTACCTTGCTGTTTTAGGTGAAACTCTTCATTCTGAAGCAGCAGTTGTCCTTGCTAATTAGGATTCCACTGACGGATGTATAGTGCTAAGACTTTTGCTGAGTTGGCCAACAAGCTTCTCTCGTTATCTTTGGGCTCTCGTCAGAAGGCCTGCATCGGCTTCTGCACAGAGGTCCCAGATCTGGCTGGCTTCCAGACACCAGGCGCTTGGCTGAAAACTTGGCCAGTGTGTAAACACCTTAAGTGCGTTCCATGGGTGTGGAGACATCTTTACAATGCCTTTTCCTGCCCCTTTTAGAACACATATCTCATGTATCTAAGCTGCCAAAGCCCCATTTTACACAGCCACGGGCACTATTTTTGGTGCTCATTAGGTGCAAAGGAGGGGAGGCCTGACTTCGCCTGCACGTCAAGCTGGCAGTCCTTTCGCATGTTATTCTTTCAATACCTTGGCGAAGACACCTGCTTTCCCAACCCTCCAGCACATCAGAGACTGCCTACATGACCTGCAGCGTTATTTCATCGTGTGGGAGTCAGTTTCCAGACCAGCTGCAAAAATGAACTCATCGTTTTTAAAAAGTGGAAATAATCTTTTTTTAGTCTCATTAGTTTTCCTTTACCGCACAAACTCAGTTTGCAACAGCGGGATTTTTTCCCCCCTCAAAAGATAAATATTTCAAATACAGTGCATCACTCTATGGAGAAAACAACTTTAATGGTTACAAGTCTATAAAGATGGTCTATTGAGATCATTACTACAAAGGACTGGTGATGAACGAAATGAGGGTGAAGAGGACAAATGAAATGAGGTGTGGCTTGCTTAAATAGTCAAACTAAACAAATGTTTAGGGCCTGAACTGAGTAAGGAAAAGGAGGGGAGCAGGGAAAGGGGGAAAGTGCCTTAGATTCTTAAGGACAATAGGATAGGGTGGGGGCAGGGACAAAGACATCAGACTTAGGGGTGGGGGATGCTACACATGTTTACAGAGGAAGAAGGCGCAGAAAGGGGAACACAACTAATCTATTGGCCTTCAAACTCATGACTTGGCCTTCTGGAAATCTGAATAGCTTGTTCAACGGAAGCTGTTTCTAGACAGATCACAATCCAAGTCAAAAGGTGTAGTTTCCCTCTTCCCTCTGCCCCATGAGACAGCCTTAACCCTTTCTCTCTGGCATGGGCCGACTGCTGGCGGGTCCATTTGCACACCTGGTGGTGCTGAGCTGAATGTCCATGACCTTAACATAAAGACTCGTGCAGATCAAGTGAAAAAAAACTGAGGAGCTCTCATCAGTTTTTGTGACCAAGAGGCATATGGGCATGAGAATTGAGGGAATAACTCTTCTTGTTTCTCTGTAGAAACAAAATAGGAGAGAGAAGCTAGATGTTAAAGTGGGATTTAAAATCCATTTAAAAGATATTTATCTGAATCAGCAATGAGACAACTCCCGAGGCATGGGCTGTGCTCTGCAGGACCATTTTATTCCAAACATTGCAACCTCCCCGCAGTGGAGCCCAGAAGGTAGTCCCTTCCTTTGTAGAGGTCATTATGGAGGCAGCTTTGACAACCGGCTTGTGTTACTCTGTTAAGAAAAACCAGCAGCACCGATACCATGGTTCTCTGAGTAGAATGTAATATTCTGATGTCTATAGTGCTATTTCAATGTCACATGAACAAGATCCTTCAGACCTTACACAGGCTCGCAAAATGAGCACTTCTATCTGACCATGTGCCATTTTTCATACTGCAAAAACTATTATGAACTAGAAAACTATGGATAGTAACATACAAATTAACTGTGAGGTCCTATGTGCCTTACACAGGGATCAATAACTGATAGCCCTTTTTCCATCCCTAATAACCCTTATTATGATTAACTTAGTGCGACTCTTATGGGTATAAACTTCACAGAACAGAATTTTTAGGATGAGTTTATAAAGAATATGAATGAGATATACCACAAGAAATAACTGAGGCTGATTCCCATGCATACTCTCGCCTCCCACCTCTCTTAATTTTTAATCTTCCTTCAAATGTAGTAAAATCTGAGATGCTTAAGTAAATGCACTAGAGGCACAAAGCAATTGTATGCAAACAGCTGAGCATGCAGAGCTTGGTAGAGGCCAAGGTTAGGAATGTTGGAAGCTCAGGTCTCCTTGTCCATTTCTCTTGCCCTAAGATGTTCTGATTTCATCAACACTGAAATATTAAAAAACATATGTGTGCAACAAGCCATGAAGCTCCTCCGTAGGCCAAACTGCGTGCATCTGCATGGCCATATGTGGGCGGGAAGGGTCCCTAGGCACAAACATCACAGAGTCAGGAGTATTTTCTTGGGTGTGGGCAAATCTCATTTTAATTGTAAAAGCCTTCATTTACAGCACATTCGAAAATGACCAACCAGGAGAGCTGTGACCCTTGAATATATGAATATATAAAAGTCCCTTGAAATTCAGGTAACCAAGATAAGGGGATTGGACAAGGAAAGCACTCCTCCTAATTTTTCTGAAGACTGTTATACACTCATTTTAAAGGATGACTAGACAAACTTGGAAGTTCAAAGTAGTAGGATGTGCCTTGCAGGGAGAAAAGAAACCTTTTGTATATCGTTAGGTAAATACATATCGGCAATGCCACGTGACAAGGCGAGATGGATGTCCTCCTTCTATTAGGCTAGGGCAGAATACTCAGTGAAAGGCGGCCTTGGGCAGGGACAGGAAACCAGGAGACAGGAACACCAGGTACCATGCTGTCCAAACAAATCGGTTCACCCCTGTAACTCGGATGTGTAATGCCACTCTATGACCTCGGAACGGGGCACACAAGGACAGCCTTGGCAGTGCCTACTCTCTCACTGCGGGGGATTGTCAAAGGGTCTCAACTGAGCCCTGGCCAGCAAATTCAAATTGTCACTGAATTTAAGTCATAAAGGATCTAAAGTTTTATTTATACACTTACATGTGCTCCTATTTACTTAACTGGAGCAATGACAATTAACATCCCTGTTTTCATAGGGTTTCTTCTATACACTGGAGTGGCTTAAGAAAAGTATTGTCTAATTTTAATTTTATTTTACACTTTCAAAAAAGAGGCAACAGAGAGGGAAAAAATATGACTAATTCATCAATTTGGGGGCATAGCATGTACAAAACTAGACTTCTCTGACTCAAGGTTCATCTAGATTGTTGGGAGCTTCCAGTGCCCAGGGAAGCCCCTTGCACTCCATCCCTACAGAAGGAACTCTACAGTTAACCCAGCAGAGTGCTCAGCTAAAGCCTACATCTAAAACTACAGAGGGTTTCAACTTAACGTTAAAAATTTTAAACTGGAAGATTTCAGCAACAAATAAGCTTGAGAGCTCATCTCAGAGGTGAAATTAAAGAACTACTGCTCTGATGTCTGAAAAGTCAAGGTCGTGCTCAGCTCTGCCCACTTTCAAGCTTAGGCAGACACATAAGGTGGCGGTGGCTCCTTAGCAGTGCCAGTCACAGTGGCATCATCATACGGGGGTAACAGAACCTAAGAAGAAAAAGAGAAGACGAGAGTTAGTGTTGGAAAGTGCACCTAGGTTCCTCCCTGAGCTTTCACTTAAACTGAACTTTTCATGTAATTAAATGTTTCCCATAACCTGTACAATTTCAAATTTTCAGCAAGTGGTTAGATTTTGATGACAAACTTTTTGAATTTTTAAAGAAGCAAATGGGAAGAGACTTTTGGCCGTTTCTGAGTTTTTTGCTGGGAAGGCTGTCAAAGGGGGTGTGGTGGCCACTGTCCCCCTCCAACCCAGGGGGCACCGCCCACAGGATCCAAACGCCGCACAGGTGCACACCGGAGCCGGGAAAAGAAAACTCCTTCCTACTCCTGTGCCCTCCACTGACAAGGCTTAAGAGTGGGTTGGCTGCCAAAGGACAAGTATTACACATAACACTCAGCTCCAATCAGGCTAAACTCGGGGAGCTGCAAAGTGGTAAGTCACAGCACCATACAAGCAAGATCAAGGCCTGAGACTCGCTCCTGTCTGCTTCACCTCCTGTCCCAAAAGTGGTGGTGACACTGTGCCTATGGCCTAAGTCCTTCATACTCAGGCATTACCCAAGGCACAGAGTCAAGGCCAATGTTCAATTGCTGCTCTGCAGAAAGGAGTGCCCATAATACACTCAGTACAAACGCCTGTCCAAGGCCAGGAAGCATTTCCAGTGTCCTCCCCACGAGAGGAAACCGTCCGCACGGAGCATGGCAGGGCACTCGGCAGTGGTAACAAACCTGGACACACCCCACTGTCTGTGAAGGAACTGACAGTGTAGTGGAGGCAGGTCAAACAGGTGACCTGAGCAGGACCGACATGTAGGTGTGGACAAGATGTTCAAGAACAACAGGCAGGGACAACTCATTTGGGTGGGCAGGGGAGGGGAGTCCTCTCAGAAGGGCAAGTAGGATCAGGCATAGGGTAGATGACAATGCAGGTAGAGAGGAAAGAGCACAGGTAGGGGAGGGAAGCCTGAAAACAGGGCACCTTCTGGGGACTGAAGGCTCGTGGTGATGAACACTCAGGGGACACGCTGTAGAGAGGAAGCTGGAGAAGCAGGCGAGGGTAACAGCGTGGAGAGCCTGTGACCACCTATGGAGCTTTATCCAGTACCTAGCAGCGGCATCTTCACTAGGAATCCTGAAAGTCTCAGCTTAAGCTGAGGAAAAATGGGTATTCTCTGCAACAAAGCCACAGCTCTCCCCCCTGCATGGGCATGTTGGGCTTTAAAACAGCCCTGGGCACACACGTGTGTGCACCACTCAGTATGGTGACTTATAACCAGGGGACACAGCTGTCATCAGCACTAGAATATTAAATTCTGCAAGAATGAGCCTCAGCCTTGTGTTCCCCAACCTCGTTAAGAACCAACAAATTCATATCTATCCTTGCCCTTGGAGAAATTACCCTAGAACATAATAGAGCTACTTAAAAGGGAGAAAAACCAGCCATCATGGCCAACTTTTTTTTTCTGAGCAAAATGCAACACTCAAACTATCCAACATGTTCACAGAAGATTAAACACAAAATTATCTTGAAAAAAGAAAAAGTGCTGGAAATTTGCCTTTTGTTTGTCATTATTTCTTGCTATTTATTTTCACACATAAAGTGTCATCTCCCATCAGTTTTTACCATCCTAATGGCTTATTCACTCAAATATCCTACTGCCTTGGACCCCGGTGAGGAGTTTCTCCTTTCACCAGGGTTTCTGACGCTCTCGCTTGTCCTCACTTCCCCATTACCACGTGCTAAATGCTGACTGCAAAATATCCTTCGGATGGCTCATTCCTCAGGCTCCTGGACTCCTTTCAGTGAAAGGCTCTCCAAATGAAACTGGTTTTAAATTCTGAAGGGACGGTGTCATCTTTTTTTAATCTAAATGATGTTAATATTATTGATGATTTCAAGGAAGGGTTGGTGAAGTAAAAGATTGTTATAATCTGATTAAATAATCCTGACTAGGGGGTTGGAGGGATTGAGCAAAAAAGGAAAAAGGACTCGGGGACATGGACTGCAGTGTGGTGACTGCTGGAGGGAGAGGGGATATGAGGGGACTAAATGGTAATGGGAAAAAACCCAGTAAAGAATAAGTAAAAAATAATAATCCTGACTAAAAAACACTCGCTATTGTCCTTTTCTACTAAAATCAATGAAGTACTTGGAAATCTGAGAAAACAACTCTATGGTCAATTAAGTTATAATATGCCAATGAGGATGCCGTAGAACAAAACTGGCGAAAACTCAAATTATTTTTAACATTTTATAGAAGCTGGCATTTAGTTAAACACAGGCTTGTCTTTTTTAAAAAAATCTAATCACTCACAATAAATAACCAAAAAAATAATCTCCGAGGACTAAGAATACAGGCCATGTCCTCCTTCGATCTAAAGTCACTGTCTGGTAAAAACAGCGGCTGCTCACTGAGTAGATAAACACAGACGCATTACAAATCTCAACCACATAGCACACTGCAGCAGTATTCAATACAACCAAATTCTCATCTAAGTACAGTCCCTGAAGTTTGTCTTCACAGGATCTCAATTACAGAGTGTCTGCATGATGGTGTAACTCTTGTCCACAGACTGAAAAATCGCTCTTGCCAATGACCCCAGAAGGCCTCTGCTCATTGCGGGATCAGCATCTGTCTCTCCACACTGTCTCCTTAATTGGGAGTTGGCATGGAGGTGACATTGTGCTGGTGGGACTGCAGCTCATCATTCATTTCAATCCAGCTCAACAAGTATTCAGAGTGTTACCAGGAGAAACACGCTTCTTAGCTACATCAACATGGAGAACAGTTGGAGAGGGGAAAATTAACATCAAAGGTAGCAAAGGTAGCAGAGAAGTGTTTCCAACTGGCCATATATCCACAAATCATTAAAATTTGGGAAGCTCATTCATTCTATCAAATATTTAGAAATGATAAAATGCTCAAGAGGGAAGAACCATTTATTGGTAAAAATAGAAAATATTGGGGCACTATGGTCAGAGTTGGACTTTTGCTGTAATATAAGAGTTAGGCCATTAAAGGCTTATTTGGAATTCTATAGTTGCCAGGATTACATTTCCAAAAAGCATTATATAAAAGTTACATAAATGTCTTCAGACATTCACAAAATTACACATGCCAAGTTTTTGTTTGTTCAGTTATTTTCCTGGGAAGAGTGTTCAGAACCTTCATCAGATTCTCAAAGAACCATCCCTGGACACTTTGGGGTCCAGGACAGGGTGGAGTAGGGTGGCAGGACAAAGCACAAGGTAAATTGAGGCAGAAATTGGCTTGCTGGCCCCACATTGTACTAAGGGTGAGGTAAGTTAAAATGCAGTCAGAGCCCGGGATGACAGCTATGTGGAACCTCATCTATCCTGGAGCAGGAAGAGGAGAAGCCCCAAGAAAGAAAGAAAGCTTACAGGCTGTTTTAGAGCCAAACATTTGGAAAATAATGTTAACAGGTGATTTGACAGATCTGATAGCTGCAGAGAAAGGACTGGGATACATAAAAGGTATTTAAAAAAAAAAAAAAAAGAAAAAAAAGAAAAACCCTTAGCTGAAAAAACAAGGCAAGTGTTTGCTGGAGAAAAGCAAAAATTGTACAAGAAAGAGATGATGGGACCAAAACATTTAGTATGGCTATATGAGGAGGATGAAGGCAGAAGAGAGTATAGGGAGGAGAGTAAGAGTCAAATGCTATTCAACAAGAAGTCAAAAGATATCTCAAATTAATAATAAAAAAATTAGCAATGTTGACATATTATTTTATAAGGGGGGTAAATACTAGAGGAGACACATAGGAGTTGACAGTGCTGAAAATTGGGTGAAATTGGAGAATGGGCAAGAAAATGGTAGAGAACAATTAAGAAATAAATCTTTCAATACTATGACTTTTAGCTATCTACATGTAATATTGTATTAAAAATAAAACTAATATTTTAAAAACAAAATAATCATGGTGGTCCGGAAGTAAAGAGGGAGCCAGTCAGAGATCTGAGGGAAGCGCCTCTGGAAAGAGCCCGCTCTGGTTCCTTTGACCTCAGATGCTGGGAGGGGAGCGACACATTCATCTCCCCCTACCGCAGATTTCCCATCACTGCCCCCAACCTCCTCCTCTACAAATTTCTAAACAAAAGTAACCAAATGAAGGGAAAGGAGATCAAAGAGACGCCATTTTTACCGCAGGATGCATGTCTGCAAGAGGTGTGGCACACAGTTGTAATTCCAAAATCCAAAGCAAAGTTTGGTTGAAACACCATCCCCTTTCATTCACTCCTTTCCCAAGTGCACCCGAGCATCGATCTGAGGCCCACTGTGGTGCCAGGTGCTGGAGACGGGGAGATGAAGTAAACTGACCGCAACCTGCAGCAGGGTGCCCTATCTTAACTGAGCAATGCTCATCACGGGAGGGGGAAAGCACGTGCACACTGTATGTCAGGAAAGACCAAGGCATTCACGTGCAGATGCAGGCAGTCTGCTGGACACGTAAGGCAGTACAAGAGATGAGCCGGGAATGACAAGCAAGATCTCAACTGGCCTTGTAAAAGCAACTGACAGGGAAGTGGAACCGTCTTCTACAGAAATCAGTGTCCTCACTGTTTTGGAGAGGATGTGGAGTTTTGGTAGTGTTCACATGTAAGACCCCCAGGGGCATATAGAGATTTTACAAAATCAACTTCTCTTCTCTCTCCCCAAATGTGGGAAAATTAATACCACTATAAATGGAGACTTCTTTTTCTTTTTTTTTTGGGGGGGGGGGGTTGTTGCTCATTGAAGTAGGGGTAGCCGGTAGGAAGCAAAGGGCATGGAAGCATTCCTGAAAGCACAACAGCTCCAGCCCTGGTTGGGGAGCTCAGCTGGTTAAAGCATTGTCCCAAGGTTGCAGGTTTGATCCCCAGTCAGAGCTCATACAAGAATTGACTGGTGAGTGCATAAATAAGTGGAACAACAAATCAATGTTTCTCTCCCTCCTTTCCTCTTTCTCTAAAATCAATCAATAAA